TTCATGTTTCCCACCCTACTTACTTTGTGAGCAGTGCTGACAATCCAAAACCTCAGATATGTGTGATTTGGAGAAATGCAAAACAAAACAAGACAATACCTCTGATGTAATTTTTCCATGGTTTTCAATTTGTAGACTACAGTCTCCTGATCAGCTGCAAGTCACTTTCAGGAAGTCTGCTAAAGAAAATGAGATAAATTCATCTGCTATCCAACAATCATAACTTGTGAGATTTGTGAAATTTCCAAGACTACCAAAAGGAGGGATTCCTCCCCCTCCCCCCCCCCCCCCCCTTACTCTCCCCAGTGCTTACAGTTCAGAATTAAACTAAAAAATACCAATACAACCAAAAAAAGGCTTGATGGCTAGATGGGCAATTGGATACTTTATTAAGCATTTTCCTGTGTGTCCAAGAGAATATGACAGATTTTCACTTCCCATAAACCAAGTAAATGTTAAGAGAAAATTATGGTGATTGTATAAACTAATGGTTCTGGCTTCCAACTTGACATTTAGCTGAGAGTGTAGTCAAGAATAGCAGGAATTTTAAGAGTATCATTGATTTCAGTAGGCATTAGAAGGATGCGCTTGGCTGCCATCACTTTCAAGGTTGTTCTGTTTTTAATATCCGCTCATAAACACATACTGGTGGTTGTGAAACTGAAAAGCAGAAAACACAATTTTCAAATTAGGTGGAAAAAACCCCCCACAATAAACTAACCCCTTAACAATTGCACTTTTCCAAACCAAGGTGTACCTATCTGTAGTGGCTGTTAAGGGGTTAGAGCAGCAGGGGGGGCTGCAGGGCAGCCTCCGTGAGGAGCAGCCCCGAACCAGCCATGGCGGCTTCCAGCCGGCTCCGATGGGCCCTCAGGGCACGGCTCAGCTCCTCAGCCCGGGTGGTGGAACCTCAGGGAAACTGTATTTAAGAAGGGGCAAAAAAACGTCAGACAGAGGAGGAGGAGGGCGGGAAAAAACAGTAAGAAACAAGCCTACAGACACCAAGGTCAGTGAAAAGGGAGGGAGGGAGGGAGTGCTTTAGGCACGGGAGCAGAGGTTCCCCTGCAGCCTATGGAGGGCCACATGCTGGAGCAGGCAGGTAATTCCTGAAGGAGCTGCAGCCTGGAGAGGGCTCCGTGCAGAAGCAGATTTATCCCGAAGGACTGCAGGCCAAGGGAAAAGTGTGAGGAGAGAGCAGCAGACAGGAGTTGTTACGGGCTGACCGCAGCTCCCATTCCTTGTCCTTCTGTGCTGCCTGGGGTGCAGGGAGGTGGAGGGACTGGGAATGAGGGGGTGAGGTTGAGCCTAGGAAGAAGGGTAGGAGTGGGAGGAAGGTATTTTAGTTTTTTTTTTGTTTGTTTGTTTTTTTTTTTTTTTTTTTGTTTTTTTTTTTGTTTTTTTTTGTTTTTTTAATTATCATCCAATTCTGGTTTAATTGGCAACAAATTAAATTAATTTTCCTGAAGTTGAGCCTTTTCTGTCTACGATGGTGATTGGTAAGTGATCTTTGTGTCTTTATTTTGACTCACAAGTTTTTCCGTTTTCTTCCCCTGTTCTGTTGGGGAGCAGAAACGAGAGAGTGCCTGTATAAGATTTTGTTCTGTGGCCACAGTTAATCCACAACACTATTCAGAGACAGGAACAGAGGTTTGGTTAAGCTTTTTATTTATTTTATTTAACTTCTGGCACTGTTTCAGATGTTACTCTGTGTCTTTTCACTGGTTTCATAAGTCTGTTCCAGAGCAGAAAGATACACCTCTAGTCAGGACACAGAGGGAGAAAAGATACAGGTATGGTTATTTATCTTTATTTTGAGGATTAAGAACATAAACTGAAATTGTCTGAAACTGAAAATATGTCTTGGTTAAAAGAATAACAACTGAGCAAATTTTGTCCTTCTGTAAGGTAGAGATTTTTCCATTATGGCCAAAGAAGTAGGAATCCATATTGCAAGTCAATTGAGTTATCATATCATAGAAGAAGAAAAAAATGCAGTTAATATATTTGGATGCATTAAAAATGGATTTTTAATATTGCCCTAGAATTCTACTAAACATTTTTCTTTTGCTGCATTTCCACAGAAAAGATAATGGCTTTTTTTCCAAATCTACTAAAATCAATTTACTTGTACAGTGTAGCCTTCCATTTTCACTTAAGATGTATAGTATGAGTGTTGAGAGAAGGTATTTCTCTTTGCTATCAAATAATTTGCCAGTTTGTCCACTCTATGGCCTTTGTTTTTGCAAGGGTTCTTTAATTATGTAGAGTCTTTGATATACTTCTAACAGGTGTTAAAGGAAAGTGGTGCACATATAACTTCCTAATACCTCCAATATAAGAAGGATGTATGTTTGCAGCTCTAAACGCACTTTTAATATGCTCTATGGTAAGTATATAACATATTTTTTAAAAAAATCTCTTTAAATATATACCTATGACTACTCTAATTCTAATCATCTATGTAATCTTGCTCTAGACCTTCTTAACATAGATTTGTACATAACTCTACCTATACATATGTATATGTGTCTGAGAGTATGTGTTAGTATAGCTATCTCTAGATCTCTATATACCTGTATAAGGTTTCATTTTGAAGGATTTTTTTTTTACGTATATTAGGAGAAATTAACTTTCGGAAGAGCACCATGTTATGTAGAATGTTATGAAGATACTTCTGTGTCCTAGGTATTCTTTAGCATGAAGTGATCAGCTACCTTGCTGCATGTTTAATCTGCAGTCATGTATTCATATATTCGTTATTAAGCGCTGCATGGAACGTCATCACTGCAAACCAAGTACATTATTTCAGTCTGGCTAAAATGAATAAATATTCAGTTTTGGCAAAACAAAGACCAGTAAAATTAAGCTGGAGATGAGCAACGTTTCTTGCCCCTCCAGAAGAAGAGTAAAAATTTAACTCCCTGTATCTATTTAATAGTACTGTAGAGCCACACTATTTGAATATACATATGGCCGTATTCCTACATCTGTATGACAACTAGTGAAAGCATCTACTGTTCACCAGAAGCAAAAAAGTATTTATAGGTGGATAACTCATTTCTTCTTTTCATATTGATTTTGCACAAAACAAAACTTTGCACAGCTGCTATTTGGAAGATAAAAAGGATTCAAATTGCTGTAGCAGACTTGTGAGTGGAAATGTTTTCAGATGTTTAGCAAATCAAATTGCATGAGGAAAGGGCAGGTTTTATTTGCTGTGGATTGTTTGCCTCCAGAAATATTTTATCCTGTACTTATTTGATTAGCTCCTCCTCATAGGTAGAGTTTTGCTACTGTAGAATGCATGGAATGAAAGAATAAATAAATAGTTTAAGAAGTTCACCTTGCAATCACCAGAAGAGACACCCACAGTAGAGACTTTGCTAAGGTAACAGTTAAAAATAGTTAGCTCACTGGTGTTCTGATAGTGGTCCTGGTTTTATGTCCATGTTTTACTTGCATTATCTAGGCACTCATAAAATGTCCCATCACCTTACACAAAGAGGTCACACAACCTTCTTTGAAGTAAACTTGGATGTGTGATAAGAAGACTAGTATTTAATTCTTGGTTATAGAACTAAATATTTCGTCATAAAAATAAACTGCTATGACGCTAGAGAAATGTGTTACTGAAGGGAAATACAACAATTGCATACAAGCAGAGATAAGAAGAGAGCTAAAGAGGAAAACCAGATTTTATTTAAAGGAATAGTAGAGGATTTTTTCCGCATGGAATCTAAATGTGCTACTTGAAAGATGGCATTTTCTTCAAAATTGCTGCCCTATTTTGTGATGAATGTAAGGGTATGTTGAGTTTCTCCTCGGATTCTCAAAAACCACTCATCATCTAGATTTTATGGTGTCAGCATGATGGGGACTATTTCAGGCATTTCTTCTCACTGATTTACTAGGAGACATGTCATGAGATTCACCTGGCCTGCAGATCGGATCTGAAGAGGTGGAGGAGGACAATGACATGACTTCTAGCAGTCAGTCATTCATTATGTAGAAATATCCTTCAAAAGATCTGTGCCTGCCTCGGGTGAAATAGATGTCAAATTCGCCCGAAGGATATGGATCAAAGACTACTGCCAGCTCATACTACACACATAAAAACAGCCTAGAGCAGAATTGCCCTTTTTCTACTGAAGTGAAGTTTCTCCTTGCGTGGGTGTTGCATAAAATATATATTTTAATCAGTTTAAAATGTATTTTGATTATTTGCACTGACCTCACAATTTCCTCTATGGAAAAAGAAATATATAAGATAATTGGCAGTGTTGGAGTGATTCTTGCTGTCTCAGACCTGTGGGAAGATAGAAGGTTTAATCAGTCTGCAGGGTTTTTTTTCTAACTGGTCAAGGAATTGTTTGGCAGTACTTTTCAACTATTGCTTCACTACTGATTCTGTCTGTTAGGAAAAAAAACCCTGTGGTCAGATTCTGCCTCCTGCAAAGTTGATCCTGTCTTCTTACAACCAGTAACTTCCTTCAGTTCTGCTATGAGTGTTCCAGGCTCCTTGGATGTGGAAGCGAAAGGAAGTTTATTGCCTCAGTTCCAGAAATTAGATTTCAGCTTTAGCTGTTAGTGTTTCAGGAGATTCATTCCCTTAAAAATATTATAATTTTGGTTTGTTAAGAAGTCAATGCATCTGGGTGGACCAAATATTCATACTATTTATCCTTTCCCAAAAAGTAGGCTCCTCTTCAACCACAGCCAGTTTACCAGGCAGGAGAGGTCTAAAGCATGCTAGCTTTATCAAAAATATATCTGCTAAATTGTTTGTGGCCATATTTCTTAGATAACTCCGGTACCTTGCAAAATATCAGTCTGCTAGGGCATGTATGACTTTGTCCATGTACTTCCTTTACTTAATGGAGGAAGACTCGACTCCAAACCTGCCTTATAATGTGGCATTTTCAGAAAAGTTCAGTTAATGGTAAAGAAAGGTCCTGGATTTAACATGAACCTCAATTTCCCTCTCCCTCTAGATGTAAAAAACCCCAAAACATATCTATTGTTTCACCATGAAAAGTGCAAGAGGATTATTGGATTAGCCCATGCCACATTCCCGTTTTAAACTGATTTAGAATGGCCTTCATAGTGAGAGTCCACCTGACATGGCTGTCGCCTCTTCCGGAAACCATCATTACACCCGTGGGTCGATGCATTCTCTCCCTTCTCTGAAGAGCAGGTAAGAAAATTATGATTGTAGTTCTAACTAGAAATCTCTGAGATGTCTCATCTATATTTGAATGTTAATGCCCAATGCTAATGCATATTTCCCCCACATATGCTTTTTCCTAGTTGACCCATGACAGTTACTTCTTTATGCCAGAGTAAGAGGGAATGCCTAAGACCACTGGAGTTCAGAATTGTTAGTTAAACAAAGGTACAAAACCTCTGATTCATAAATGCTTTTGTTTGCATCTGCTTTCTAACGAAGGTAATTTATTTTTCAGAGATATTGGATATATTATCTTTCAGAATAGCATAAATTATTCAGTAGGTTGAAGAGCCTTTCACCAAGTTCTTTACTGTATAACACTGACCTCTCTGGCTGCCCACTGTGCTCTGCCCCTGCCTCCCCCACCCCCCCCACCCCCCCCCCCCCAAAAAAAAAAAAAAAAGTCAGGAAAGGTAAAACTCAGGAGCTTTGTGCAAAGATTGATAATTCTTTTGTTTTATCATTCCAGGTGTTGTTTTTCCTAATACAGACAAAATATTCTTTCCAGTTCAGAAGATAAACACATCATTCTTTTATATACAATGCCATGAATAGAGAAACTTTTAAGAAATGAAATGGATGTAATTTTTATGGTAATTGAGATCAGAGCACACAGGACTGTTTTGAATACTTGTTGAAAGAAATTTAAAAATGTGAGAAATGTCTGTCCTAAAGCATTTCATTTTGAATTTTGAGAAGAATTTTGTCATTTAGGTTCTCAAGGCTATTTCATTCAGTCACACTTACTTTAATTAGCTACTGAATATGCAGGAAAAAACCTAATGCTGCTTTTTGCCAGTTCATAATGCATTTTTCACTTCTGCCAAGCACGACATGTATGAGAAAAATAGCAGAGTTTCTTCACTCATCCAGGAGAGCCACTTTTAAAATTAAGAATTTTAAGTACAGAAGTTCCATTGGTTTTTGATCTGCTACTCACATAGTAGAACTAGAGCATACTACTTTCCTGGATTAGGTATATGGTTCAAAGGGACAGTTCTGAGGACTACCATTGCTCCTACTCTGAAAGATTAAAAACCAAAGGATTATTTCCAACTAGGATTACTACCATAATTTTGAAAATGCTAGTTTTCATACCACATTTAACCACCTTAACACATTACATGTTTTCATTCTCTTAAAACTCAGATAATTTCTTTCTCTAAAACTAATGCAGATAGTTAAAATAAAGAGCTTCAGACACTGATTTTGTGATGATTTCTTCTGTTGTAACCGCTGACCTTGCAGTGGTTGATCATCAGAGCTAATGTTAGGTGTTTTAAAAAATATATTTAGCTAATAAGTAACCACTTCGTATTCATGCTTGGTGTATTGCACTTGTTCAGATTAGTATGTTCTGATATTTGTGAGGCCAGGGCTAAAATGATGGACCTTTCAGACTTGGCTTCTCCCTATGCCACTGTCAAGAAAAAATAAGAGATGTATCAACAGTGACCCTCACACACTCTAGCCCTGTGGTTTCTTTGAAGAAGCCTGGATGTGGGGTCTGAAAGTGAACTTTGTCAGAGAGGGCAGGTGTCCCATCATGGCCAACTAGATGAGATTGCAGTTTCTTTGTTGCAAAAGCATGTAAGGATACAAGTCTGCTGAGTATTTCCTCTCTAGCATTGACCATGAGTTGTCCAAGGATTAGATGAACAACAAGGAAAACCTTGTGTGTAGTCTTTCCTAAATTTAATTTTGTGCAGTTTAGCCATGGTTCACTGTCTGACCTTGTGTTTACAGGATTTCATTATATGAAAACATTACCCTTAGGAAAAGGTCTAATACTATTTAATAGAGATTAATCCAGAGACCCTAACCAAATTACTCTAACAAACCTTAATCTGGAAGACTATTTTTTTTCCATGGATATTCTTGAAACAGAAGAATCATTGGTAAAGTATGGAAGAAAACTGTATGAATATGAGCACTGTAGATGTAGGATGATAATGTGGGAAGGCTTGCAGATTTGAGATAGAATAATTAGTGTTAGTTATCAGAATGTAATAAAGTGCAGCTTTCAAATAAATATTTGCATGTTTAAATAAATGTAACATTTAAATAACTATAACTATTAGCGATCATGATCTTGGGGCATTAAGCTGTATAAACCTAGATATCTACACCCAGTATCACAGAAAATAGTAATGGGACTTATGTAGGAAAATTAAATAGAATAAATATGAACATCAAATAAACTGCCATTTTGTAAATGAACAATTATTTTTTACTATACTGCTTGAAAAATATTTTTGATTAGTAGAGTGCCATGAGAAGTAGAAAGGGGCTGAAGAAAGCAATGTGAAAATATTCTGCACTCTTTACTGCGACATACTATTTTATGTTACGTGCATATATATCTTATGCAATATGCTATCCTTAGCTATGTATTTCAATTTCACTGAAATGTCAAAAATTAAAAAAAGAAAGATATGTTAAACTTTTTATAAATGTTTTTGTTAATTAACACATTCCTGTGATACAAAGTACATCTACATGTTGCAAAGTAGTTCTAAGTTGAATAAATTAACAGTGGTGCCAAAATATGTGAAAACCGGGATATAATAATAACAAAGATGAATTAATTGATGGATTAAGATAGCTTTAGTTCATTTTTAATATAGCAAACCATACTTTGACCCCCAGTTTTAAATTCTAATAAGTAGCTATGAAGAGGATCGAGAATAATTTTAATGATAGCTGTCCTATATTCCAAAGAATCTTAAAATGCAAAAAGCAAAGCTGTTGTTAGTTAACTTGACAGTAGGCAAATGTTTTCACAGGGCAGCATATTGGTGACAATACCAGAGGCCTGAATGGCAGAAAGCAGTGGATAAGTTTGTTTCTTGCGATCCCAAATACAAAACAAGTGGCTTTGACTTCATCTGCAGATTATCACAGCTATGCTTGGGAGTGGGGTAGGAGAAACTTCTGCAGGTGAGCTGGCAGGGAGTGAAAGGGATGATGCTGAGATCTCACATGCTTCCTGACACCAGGGCAGAGTAAGAGCAGCGTGTTTCTTCTGCTCTGCTTTGGATGAGAGTTTTCAGTCACAAGCATTCCCCTGAGATTTCTGGAAAAGAGGCTTGTGAAAGAGAGCTGTCCAGTTGTCTTTCTGTGGCCCCTAGGTCTGACCCTGCCCATACCCACAGCTGCCACTGCACTCTCTTACACAAGAATCTTTTGTTAGAATCCTACCCTGAAAAGGCCAGATTTGCAGAATAGCACTAAAAAGATATGATCTCAGGTTCAGATCCAAAGATAACTGAAACTAGGTTTTTCTTCCTTCAGCTGACATGTTCAGTGCAAATCCTGTTTGTTTAGAGGTGACTTTCTTTGAGCACGTTAGTGAGTGATGTATTGAAGTAGGATATATATAATGGGATAATGTAGTGAAGGCATGAAAATACTAAATATTCCATGTGACTGCTAAAATGGCTGACAAATTCATGTTACATAGAGTTTAACGAGGCTTTAAGTTTTCTTTAATAGGGAATCTTGGATGCACCATTTATTAATTGGGTTTGGGGTTTTTTTTTTTTGAAAGTTACTTCTAGTTATTAGGAATGCATTATTTACAAAGTGTTCAGTTCTGCATGAACTATACATCCCAGTTTCTGAACAGCTAGGATTTGGAGAAGTGGAATGAACTTTTAATTCAGATGCTAACCAAAAATCTGATGAAAAACTGCAATAAAAGGTATTCGTAGAACTCTTCTTAAACTATCAGTTTTAATATAACTTTACTTATTCTTTTCTTTCAATATATAAAAGGTACAAAGACTCCTATGTGTAGGTGTTAACAGCTTTCATCAAATATCCTTTTCATTCTGTGTTAAGACAGATGGGTCAGTTTTGACCTTTTCACAGTTCTTGTTAGGATCTATTGTTCTGCCAACTTTGGCATCACTGCTGCCCAGTTTATTATCAGAAGTCAAAAGGGACAACAAAATGTTTCTAGCGCTGTTTTGTTTATAAAAAATTCAAGCTTGCAATTTAACGCTTTTTCACAACATGCTGATTTTAAAACTGTTCAGAATGTTTGTGTTTTGCTGATTTTTCCACTTGAACGACAAGGATAAGGTTTGTTTGTTGGGATTTTTTACATATACAAAGCTAATATTATTTCCTAACTTTAATTAAACATGTAAATTATTTGCTTACATAATGGAAGTTATTGTGTTGGCAAGTATCCTTGTATTGTTTATATTGTCCTATGGCACAGTGAGCTCACATTACAGTATCACTTCATTGTTTAATCATCATCCTACTTGAAGTCATTCACGTTTGGGGTGGAGGAGCATACCAATTTCAGGATCCATATGTTACACTGTGTGTAGACATAGCCTGAATTACTGTAAGCTGTCTCTTGCAAACACAACTTGTTGCTTGATATTTTATTTCTCCGAATTAATATGCATAATTTTTTTGTTATAAATTCAGTATTTAAGTCAATACTTAATGGATTGGTTAATGGAAAAAGTAATGTAAAGTAAAATAGTGCTTATTTTTGTCCTCTTTCTGTCTAGCAATAGCAATCCTAACAGCTGTCTCTGTCCACATTTGTCTTGGTGCAGAACTGTTTGGAGAGATTAAAAGATATCTTTTGTGTCACTTGGCCTACCCTGCTATGTGAAATCCTTTCTCAAGTGAGATACTGAGGTTTTGTTGCTACATGGAGATATTATTTCACAAAAAGTGAGTTAAAGTTTTTTATGGACTTTGTGTTACCTTGTGCTGGGATGATCATTATGGAAGAGTTAAGATGAATGTTGGAAAAAGTGGCTTTGAATACAATGTATATATTAAATGTACTGTATCCCTCAATATGAAGACAGTTAAAATGAATAATGTGAAATGATGAAGAAGCTAAGTATTTTTGTTAGGTCAGTAGGGTACTTAGCATCTGTGAGAGTAAGGTTGTTTAATACTACATGGAAAGACTCCTTAATTTGCAAGGGTCTCATTAATCCTTACAGGACTAGGTATTTGCTAATACCATGACTAGGAGACTGTCACTGTATAGCATCTGGTTGGAATTACATCACTCAAATTGTATTAATATTTCAGAACTTTGTGTCCAGGTTTTTCAAAGCAGAACCTGCCTTCTTTAGTGAAAGCCTAACCTTGTTTTAACTTCCTGGAGCACTTAGCATGGGCAAAAGAAAATGCTCTTCTTCCTCAATGAGAAACTTCTGTGTTTTGCTACAGATTGTTTCAGGATTTAAACTAATTAGCTCCAGTGCGTGGGAAGGAAATTCCTCCAAAAAATTAATGAAGTTCAAATCACCTATTTTACAAGTGGTCCCAGGCAGAGTTTCTTCCTTAAATGGATAAAAGCTCTGCTGTAGCATACAGAGTGAAAGGAAGAAGCATAGTTTAAAGCAGCAAGTAGCCCATTCTCTAAATCCTTTGCCCTGAAAATGTGAGATTGCCAGTAATCTTTCTGCTGTGGTGTGTGACGTGTCAGAGGCAGAGTACCTGAGGACTCTGAATTCTTATTTCACATTTGTCCTGGGTTCGGCTAGGATAGGGTTGATTTTCACAAGAAGTTGTGAGAGGGCACAGCCAGGAGAGGTGACCTCAACCAGCCAAGGGGATGCCCGACCCCGTGCTGGCCTCATGCTCGGTAGGTCACTAGAGGAGCCTGGCTGGGGCTGGGGGGTGATCACGGCTCGTACAGGGGCTGAGCGCGGGGTGCCGGGTGGTGAGCAATTGCATCGTGCATCGCTTGCTTTACGCCTTAGTCTTATTAGTATTGTTGTTCTCGCTTTCTTCTCTTCTTGTCTTGTTCTGTTAAACTGTCCTTACCTCAACCCACGTGGTTTTACTTTTTTTCCTTCGGATTCTCCTCCCCCTCCCACCATGGGCGAGGGGTGAGCAAGCGGCCACCTGGTACTTTGCTGCCAGCCAGGCCTAAACCCCAACATTTCTGTCTTTGCACTGGACAAACTCATTCTTCAACTCAAACTACACTCTCAAGCTACAGTATGGCATATTTTAGGTTTCAATTGTAGCACATTATGTAGAAGGACTGCAGTTGTGGACATTTGTCTCTTTGACATTTTTGAAGGACAAACAACTGACCTAGAAATGGATCCAGTGGAGATGGTACTGAGTAACTGCTCTCACATTTTCCTTTCACAGTTTGTGGCACTGCTGAGGAGGATTTTTCTGCATGCTACTGTATTTGACCTAACACAGATATTGCCATGTAAGACATAAGTCCTTTATGAGCACACTTGTCATCTCTGCTAATACATTGAAAGAGCACTGTGAAGATTTTAAAAGGGACCTTTCTCAGAGATACATTTTAGCAATTATACACGTTAATTTAATCAGCAGACCTTATTATTAGCAGCCTAAGAAATTCTATACCTCATTGTAATAATTTACAAACACAACAAACAATTCTCTTTCCTCTTCAATTGGCTAAATAGTCAAAGTTTTTCTTGAATTTGAGGTTAAGGCAAAGTCAGCACCTCCCATTTTGAGCAGATATTCTTAGTCAATATGCATAAGTGCTGAATGGAAATAGTAAATAGATTGTATCAAGTTTAAATGTACACCTAACATCTGCAGTGTATATATCAACAAAAAAAATCAATTTCAGTCTTACGTTCCCATTAAGTGACAGTCCAGTGTCAAATAAAATACATGCTTTAAATTATTGGTTAAGTACCATTCTACACTGAACATTGACTCTAAGGAAAATAACTTGAGTTTTTCTTTTTAGTTGTCTCACATGGACATTTGTTTCAAATGTGTCTCTATTAGAAAGCACAAAGATGTGTGATCTAATTAGTGGAACTGAAAGTTAACATGAAATCCTAAAAATAGTTTGTGATCTTACACTGAGAATCTGCAAAAAATATGCCTTTGGTTATACTCTAGTAATGGCAGGTGTCTTATGCCTTATTTCCTTCTGTGGATTTCTGTGTGTGAAATTATCAAAACTTCTCAGTCATGCTGAAGGATCGTATTTTTTCTTCTGCAGCTATACTACTTCTCTACAGCCAACAATAAAAAAAAAAACAAAACACAACCTTTAATGTAGTTTTGAAGTCATTATCATTAACAAATCTCACTTGTGACAGCTGTGCACCTTCATGTCTTCAGGGCACTAAAGTAATTACAGCTGTCTTTTCACAACTGTATGCTAAAATATTTTTCTGTGTACAGCTTTAGTGAAAGGAGGTTTGGTATTACTTACATACAGCACTTCATGCATAGCTGTATAATAAACCAACGCTTTTATACAACAAATTTGTAATATCAGAGTCACATTTATCTTACGTGTTAACTTATTTGACCAAAATTTTCATATTAAATAAAGAACTGACTTCAGTAATTCCTTTCTCAGGACCTGTAATGAAAGACAGAGCAGTGTTCAATTATTTAATATAAGGGGCATGTGCCCCCTTACGAGTTCTCAATTCATACTGTTTTCTCACCTAATAAAAATAAGATTAGTCAGGATTTAGGATTCTGTATTCATTTTGTTATCCCAAAAATTAAAATGATTATAGCAGGAATAATTCATCAATTAGCTGCTTCTGCCATTTACTGAAACGTACCCGGTTTTATTTCATACTCATTCTTGTTACAGTGATAAATTATTCAAAATGATTACTTACCTCCTCCTCGGTGGAAGTACCTAGTGCAACTATTGATTGTTGCTCATTTGCATTTGGGACTTTTATCTGAAATTTTGTTTGACGTCTCTATATTTCCTGCCAAACAGATCAAGGGCAGTACATAGCTATAACTTGGTGTATATCTATAATCTGGTTATTTATTTTAAATAAACTGTTGTCCTTTCCTTTATAGGACTGGTTTTCCTATCATTTTCCTCCTCTTTATTTCTTCTTAACCTACTTGGGATGCAGATCTTGTGCCAAGCTAAATGTTTTATAGCTGATTCTACAACTCCGATAATACAAATAGAGGATTGTGTTGCCTGGAGTCCTCTCTTTCTTTATATTTCTTAGAGCAGTGGAAGATGCATGAAGTAGGGTGTGATTAAACAAACTCATTCTACTTTTGGCAGTTCTGCTTGACTCGCGTAGTGTGTGACCCAGGCATTTGCAAGATTATAGGAGCCAGGAACTCATGCAAGGCTGCTGCACACAAACCGAATGTACTGCAGAGGCTTTGTGGTCATGGTTAACGCCCTTCTCAAAGTGACTGCAGCTTCATAGCTTCTGATTCACAACTCTCTTATTCTTGGTTGGGTAAGCATGCAGGCAAAATAGACAGGTATTTCCAGAGACACTCTCAGTCACTTTGTCGGTTATTTTTAGAATTTTATGTCCCTAAAGGTATATGAATATATATGAAAGCCTGTTTAGTTTCTCTGCAGTGGTCTTTTACTCCCTGCAAATGTAGTAGCTCCAACTATGGCACTTCACGTGCAATGCACATAAAAAATACTTGCTGTCCTTTAGTCTTCTTAAGGGTGTGGAATCCATACTCTTTTCTCCAAATGCTACTTTGCTGTTCAGGTAGGAACGCTATTACAAACTGCATTATGCTGCTTTCTGCTTTAAGTGTTGGAAAGCTCACTGGGCTGGGGTTTTAAGTATTGATATTGAAAATACTCAAGATTCACACAAGAATTCTGGTTTTTGTCAGCAAAATTTCTGTCAATAAATACAATTTTATTAGAAACTGCGTATTTTCTAAATGTTTGAAATAAAGATCCTCTATAATGATGATTATCCAGCAATGATGAGAGAAATGTAAACTCAGTTTTACAAGCTTGGTCAGTCTTCTGCTTCATTGCTAGCTCTTAAGTACACAACGATTTAATTGCCTGCATTTGTTTGAGAAGGAAAAATAAATAATATGGGGATAAAAATCTTCAAAGGATATTTTTCTGGCATTGTTGTTTTTAACACATTTGTAAGATCTTTCAGGGCTAAAATTCAAAATGGCAAGCTAACTTTTGAAATAGTTTAGATTGCTGGTGGTGCATTGCCTTAGTTCTGTTATACATACTTGAAATTTCTGCAATTTGCTTTTCTTAGCTGTGAAACTATCACCTTTGAAACTGACTCGTCTGCCAGAATACAGATATTATGAAAATAACATAAGTGAAAACTTGCTGCTTAACTAGAGGATTTTCTGGGCTATAGTTTATTATCTACCCAACGTTACTTGCTTGCAGCATAATAACTTTAAACACCCAAGTTGGTTTGATTTAAAAAGTGGGGAGAGAACACATTGATATGAAAAAATTCTTTTATGTTATATGTGGGTTATCTTTTTTTTTTTTAACCTCTTACATGACAGTGGTTAGCTAAACAATGTAAATATCTGGAAACAAGTTAGCTTCCTAAAGTGTGCATTGGCAAACATGTTAAGTTTTAGATCTTCACTGCCACAACGGAGTTTAATCTCCTTGAAGTGGCACTTGGATGCAGAAATTCAAAAGACAATTGAAACCATTTAGATCTAATAAAAAATGGATAGCTGTGCAATTCTAAATAAGAAATTGTGCTCTGAAAATTTCTGCTTGCTGACTCTCTAACTGCATGCATAAAAAACATTTGCTCTAGATCATCCTGTTTTTTTCACTTATAGTGAATACACATGATTAATGCTGCCATTTATAAATGTGAATCTGAATTTCTTTTAAGGGATAATTACCTACCTGTGCTTTTACATTTTTCTTGCAGTGTTACAGAATAATTTGTCATTAGGAATAATGAGACACTGTTCATTTTCTTCAAGTAAGTTGAATATTTAAAATAAGTGGTAAAT